TCAGTCACACACACACACACACACACACACACACACACACACACACACACACACACACCTCCAAGATCTCATCTCACAAACCTGAATGTATACATTGTTAACCTCCAGGTATATCAATAGAATACCGAAAATGAAATTCTCAAGTGAACTTCGCACATTGAATTATGCTATGAATATTGAATAAGCCTGTTTACCGCATTAAATAATGTTTATATATTTATTTTTGAGGATGAATAATATATTCTATTGTATTCCACAAAAATATATCTGAACAACACATTAAAATGATGAAACACTGAAATGTAATGAAAGTCAGATCCACTCGTGTGGCAGTGATATTCATTTACAATATTCTTCCTCCAGCTGCATCTGTATGCTTTTAATAATCCATTTTCCTGGATTATGTGTTTAAGTCATGGATGTATACAGTTTAGCTTATACTGTACGCTGTTTATCTGTACGCTTGTCAGTACCATTTGTGAGCGGCCGAATGGGGCTAACTCGGCTCTTTCATGTGAGCGTGTAGTATCCGGAGTGGTTGAACTGGCTCCGTAGAACAGGCCCTGCTGAGGTTTCTGAACAGTTGAAGTGGCTCTGTAGAACAGGCCCTGCTGAGGTTTCTGAACAGTTGAAGTGGCTCCGTAGAACAGGCCCTGCTGAGGTTTCTGAACAGTTGAACTGGCTCTGTAGAACAGGCCCTGCTGAGGTTTCTGAACAGTTGAAGTGGCTCTGTAGAACAGGCCCTGCTGAGGTTTCTGAACAGTTGAAGTGGCTCTGTAGAACAGGCCCTGCTGAGGTTTCTGAACAGTTGAAGTGGCTCCGTAGAACAGGCCCTGCTGAGGTTTCTGAACAGTTGAAGTGGCTCCGTAGAACAGGCCCTGCTGAGGTTTCTGAACAGTTGAAGTGGCTCCGTAGAACAGGCCCTGCTGAGGTTTCTGAACAGTTGAAGTGGCTCCGTAGAACAGGCCCTGCTGAGGTTTCTGAATGGTTGAACTGGCTCTGTAGAACAGGCCCTGCTAAGGTTTCTGACCCGTGTGTTTCTTGTGATCAGACGGTGGTGCTCGGGGCCTTCCTGATCGCTCATGCTTTCTTCAGCGTCTACGCCATGTGTGTCGACACGCTCTTCCTCTGCTTCTGTAAGTTAACACTTCATTACTGTTTAGTAACACTTCATAAAGTAGTTCTGGATATGCTTCATTAGGTCTGCTCAGTTTATTTTCCATTAACCAGTCTTTAAACACTGCAGAGCCTGTACTGTATTCCTGTTAGTGTTTACTTCCTGTCTGTCTTCTTCTGCTGTTCCCTTTAGTGTTTACTTCCTGTCTGTCTTCTTCTGCTGTTCCAGTTCGTGTTTACTTCCTGTCTCACTTCTTCTGCTGTTCCCTTTAGTGTTTACTTCCTGTCTGTCTTCTTCTGCTGTTCCCTTTAGTGTTCACTTCCTGTCTGTCGTCTTCTGTGGTTCCCTTTAGTGGTTACTTCCTGTCTGTCTTCTTCTGCTGTTCCCATTCGTTTTTACTTCGGCCGTGTCTCAATTCAGGGGTTGCATCCTTCGAAGGGTGCATTCGTAGACCGCATACGTCACTTCCGCCGAAAGAAGGCTGTCCCAATTTTAAAAAAAGACGAGACTCCTCCGAATGCGGCCCACGAATGCAGCCTACTTTTCCCCAATTTGAAGGATACATCTGATGTACACTCCGCGGCCTACCATATCCCAGGGTGCAATGCGCGCAGGGAAGAGTGAGTTTTTTTCAAATGAAATGGCTTCCGGTCTCCCCAGCAGAGTGGATTTAAAAGCAGCAGCAAGCGGAGGAATCACTAATGAATGTGAGTATTGGGTTTGTTTGTTTGTTTGTTTGTAGCCTTTATTTAACCAGGTGAAAGCCCCTTGAGATCAAAAGATCTCTTTTTCAAGGGTGACCTGCAGGTTTTAACTTACTTTAAATTAACTAATGTCACACACCTCAAACCCAAGGGGCATTAAAACGTCCATTTTCGTTAAATAATACGGATAAATATGTGACGCTAACTAGCTAGCTGGACGTACTGCACTGTTGTTTACACTTATTTTTAATTCAACTCCGAAGTTTACTCAAGTCATACAGAGATCTTGGCTCTGTTATAGATAAGTTATACTTTGTATTACATAAATAGACCAAAGTGAAAACATTTAGACCGGTATAGCCTACAGTACGGTGGGATTTATAAAAGGCTACCCTGACGTGTAGCTGCTGTTAGCTTTATTTATTTCTCTGACATTTTGCAATGTTTTACTGTTTATTAAACTTTGGGACAACATTACAACCTTTGTGTTCAGCTCATGCTGCTTTGAAAGAAAAGCCTATTTTAAATATTTCCACCAGATTTGATCATCTGTTATTTAGGTTAAAGTGTATTTAATGTATCCTAATCCCATAATAATAAGACAAATAGACAGCAGCCTTTTGCTTGATGTTAGTTTGTGCCGTGCTGTCAAAGGGATGCACGTGTGACTGTCTTCATCTCTTTAGTTTTTTAAAAACCAGAACAGTACATAATTTTAAATGATCCTTTAGGGATTGTTTGTCTGAAATGCTTAGAGTTACATTTTGCAATAATACTTTTGCAACCCTGTGTTTAATGTGATTAATTCACTTTTTTCTTTTTCTCTTGTTTTTCTCTGTAATTAGGACAATTCTGGAGAAATGGATCTGCTGGAGAAGGACCCCTAATCTGAAAAGTGCACAGCGGATCATCAGGACATGCTGCCATCCACCTGGACCCCCTGTGGTGCTGGAAAAAGACCCCTAACCCCAGCGGATCATCAGGACAGAGCTGCCATCCACCTGGACCCCCCGTGGTGCTGGAGAAGGACCCCTAATCTGAAAAGTGGACAGCGGATCATCAGGACATGCTGCCATCCACCTGGACCCCCCGTGGTGCTGGAGAAAGACCCCTAACCCCAGCGGATCATCAGGACAGAGCTGCCATCCACCTGGACACCCCGAGGTGCTGGAGAAGGACCCCTAACCCCAGCGGATCATCAGGACAGAGCTGCCATCCACCTGGACCCCCCGTGGTGCTGGAGAAAGACCCCTAACCCCAGCGGATCATCAGGACAGAGCTGCCATCCACCTGGACCCCCTGTGGTGCTGGAGAAGGACCCCTAACCCCAGCGGATCATCAGGACAGAGCTGGCATCCACCTGGACCCCCGAGGTGCTGGAGAAAGACCCCTAACCCCAGCGGATCATCAGGACAGAGCTGCCATCCACCTGGACCCCCGAGGTGCTGGAGAAAGACCCCTAACCCCAGTGCATCATCAGGACAGAGCTGCCATCCACCTGGACCCCCTGTGGTGCTGGAGAAGGACCCCTAACCCCAGCGGATCATCAGGACAGAGCTGCCATCCACCTGGACCCCCCGTGGTGCTGGAGAAAGACCCCTAACCCCAGCGGATCATCAGGACAGAGCTGCCATCCACCTGGACCCCCTGTGGTGCTGGAGAAGGACCCCTAACCCCAGCGGATCATCAGGACAGAGCTGGCATCCACCTGGACCCCCGAGGTGCTGGGGAAAGACCCCTAACCCCAGCGGATCATCAGGACAGAGCTGCCATCCACCTGGACCCCCGAGGTGCTGGAGAAAGACCCCTAACCCCAGTGGATCATCAGGACAGAGCTGCCATCCACCTGGACCCCCGAGGTGCTGGAGAAAGACCCCTAACCCCAGCGGATCATCAGGACAGAGCTGCCATCCACCTGGACCCCCTGTGGTGCTGGAGAAGGACCCCTAACCCCAGCGGATCATCAGGACAGAGCTGGCATCCACCTGGACCCCCTGTGGTGCTGGAGAAGGACCCCTAACCCCAGCGGATCATCAGGACATGCTGCCATCCACCTGGACCCCCTGTGGTGCTGGAGAAGGACCCCTAACCCCAGCGGATCATCAGGACAGAGCTGGCATCCACCTGGACCCCCCGTGGTGCTGGAGAAGGACCCCTAACCCCAGCGGATCATCAGGACAGAGCTGCCATCCACCTGGACCCCCCGTGGTGCTGGAGAAGGACCCCTAACCCCAGCGGATCATCAGGACAGAGCTGCCATCCACCTGGACACCCCGTGGTGCTGGAGAAAGCAAAACGGCGATCAGGAACATCCTCCACCCAGACCTCTGCTTACTGCCGTTCTACAGACTTGTGTCTTAGTTTCAGAATTAGATTTTTTCTGTGTTCTTTCTTTTAATAGATATGTAACGATTATAGCTTGAGTCTGTCTGATTCCCCAAACAACTGCTTCTATATACTTGCTGCACATATAATACAAATAAACAACTCCATAAACACACTTTTGCTGATATTTGTTTTACTGCTGGTGATGTTAAATAACATGATTGATTTCCTCTGTCTCAATGATGAAAGTTATAATAATAGAAGACATGAAGCTGCAGAGAGGATGGATATATTCTTACCTCTACTTTGTGATTAGATGAAAATACAACATTGAATTAAAATAGTAATTATTAAACACATTGTTTATTTCATTTCCAACATGTGTACATAAGCAGTGGAATAATAGGATATCTCTAGGTCATTAAACTGTCTTCAGTTTAATTGTATTAATACAAAAAATAGGTAATAGAAAATGTTTAATTGTGTATTTCAGCAGAGCGGGGGGTTACGGTGCTGCTGGACCTGGAGGTGCTGACCTGGGGTCAGTGGGACATCATCTGGGCAGGTTTAGGGGAAGAAGGAGAATATAAACTGTTATGATCACAGCTATTAAGATTAGAACACTAATATTGTTAAGAATCAATCTATACAACATGCTGTTGTTCATTTAAAAAAACATATTGTTTTATTAGTACAGAAAAATTAAGACTTATTTTAAATATGAAATAATATGATTAAATTACATCAGCTATATCATTTACTTGTTAACTTACTAATGTAACATTACTGGGGGCTAAAGGAACAGCTTGATCTTATTTACCTGGCCATGGTCCTCTTTATTTCATCGCCGTCGGTGATCTCCAAAAAATGGTTAAAGTAAAAAAGTAAAAGTAAAGTTTCAGGATCCTTTTCAGCTGAGTTAGCTTGTAAGCTAATTTGCTAGCAGGCTGCTGGAGCAGCGCAACCGAACAGCGCATATCACGTGACGTAAATACGAAGCGTTCCGTAGGCTAGACCGTCTCATTTCGTAGGCCGCTCGGTCCAGCCTACCCGGTCTACGTGGGCTGGGTCCTCCGTGGACCGCGTAGGCTGCGTACTCCGAAGGGTGCAGCCCCTGAATTGAGACACGGGGTGTCTCTCAATCGCGAGTAAAGCTGCTTCAGAGCCACTATTTCAAGCATACTACGTCATCGAGTGCCGCCGAAGTACTGTTCCAATCTCCAGCATACTTGGAAATCTACCGAGCCCGGCATACTCCGTTTGGAGAAATATCGAGGCTGCACATGAGTAGACTCCGCGGTCTTAAAATCCCCACAATGCTTTGCGCACAGACCAATTTCCCCAAATCTGTGGCGGAAGATGTAAGGCGGGGCCTCTCATATGACGCACACCTGCACACTTGCTAGCCTGTTCCACTCTTTGTTTTCCAAATGGCAGGAAGTATTCTTGACTCGCTTCTGAAGCAAGATGCTCGGCAGACATGTGCTACCAAGCAAGCGTACTCGACATCGAGAAACACCCACGGCCTTCCTGTCCATCTTCTTCTGCTGTTCCTGTTAGTGTTTACTTCCTGTCTGTCTTCTTCTGTTGTTCCCTTTAGTGTTCACTTCCTGTCTGTCTTCTTCTGCTGTTCCCTTTAGTGGTTACTTCCTGGCCCTTTCTCATGTCTTCAAATGTTCCTCCTCGACTCCCCTCCTCGACTCCTATCCTCGTGTCTTAGCCCCGCCCACAGGAGATGCGAGCGGAGGAGCCGAGGAGGGGAGCCGAGGAGAGAGGAGGGGAAGCAGCAGGCGGTTAGAGAAATGAGAACTCCTCTCCTCTGAGCGGTCATTTTAAAGAGACGTCCATTAATGATGACAGGAGGCACAGCAGCCCTCTGTCTGATGGACAGATGTGTTCATGATGACTTATATATTTACTTTTAATTCATTCACAGTGCGGTATAATGAGACAATAATAGGCTACAGATGCGGACATACACACAGACACACACACACACACACACACACACACACACACACACACACACACACACACACACACACACACACACATATATGTCTATATTTATATAAATATATACAATTTCAGAATCAAACAGAGCACTCTCATAATAACGTAACACTATCAGAGACTGGATATATCCCCCCCCCCTCTCTGGTCGCTACAATGAGGGAAATAAATGACGGGCCAAAAGTTTTATTTACAAGTATTACAAGTAAGCAGAGGACACCAAACCAACTGAGACCTGTCTGTCCGCTGCATCTACGCACACACTGTACCACACACACCTACACCACACACACGCACCTACAGCTCCTAAAGCATATCATCAGGCTACAGCCGTTGTGTATTTTATTATGTGAAGCACTAAATGGTTTTAGAAAAATATCGACTTTGTTTGTAGATATCTACTAAACTAAAGCAAATAAAGAGAGTAGGCCTGTTATACTGAGTGATATATATTATACACACTGCTCTGCTTTCTGCACGGACCTCACAGCTGTTCTCTCTGTAAACATCACGTCCCGATGAAAGCAGTTAATACAATAATATCCAGGGGATGCATGCAGAGCTGTCATTGGCTGAGATAAGTCCGGCCGTGCGTCTCGACTCTTTGAAACATCACTGTTGCCGGAAATGCATCCACGAAGGAGCCGTGGAGGACCGTGGAGGACCCATCAGTGTATCCTCGGTTATAGCTCCTCCAGAGAGGCTCCTCGACGCTCGATGCTCGGTCCTCGATGTGCATTTCGAGAAATGAGATGTCCTTCAACATGGCGCGCTAAAATTCATTTCCGGGTCACTACCGGAGGACCGAGGAGTCGAGGAGTCGAGGATGGACATTTGATGACATGAGAAAGGGCCCCTGTCTGTCTTCTTCTGCTGTTCCCATTCGTTTTTACTTCCTGTCCGTCTTCTTCTGCTGTTCCTGTTAGTGTTCACTTCCTGTCTTTCTTCTTCTGCTGTTCCTGTTAGTGTTCACTTCCTGTCTTTCTTCTTCTGCTGTTCCCATTAGTGTTTACTTCCTGTCCGTCTTCTTCTGCTGTTCCTGTTAGTGTTCACTTCCTGTCTTTCTTCTTCTGCTGTTCCCATTAGTGTTTACTTCCTGTCCGTCTTCTTCTGCTGTTCCTGTTAGTGTTCACTTCCTGTCTTTCTTCTTCTGCTGTTCCCGTTAGTGGCTGCGTTTCACTTCGATTAAATGGAATCCTTGCGTCCCTCACTTGCGTCGTTTCCCTGCGTTTAGTCCCTCCCACCAGGGAAGCATGGAGAGACGCAAGGAAACCACGAGAAGCAGGGAAATGAGTTTTAAGAGCAATGGGACGTCCTTTCCTCTGGAGCGTCACGTGAAGCGACGTCCGTTTGTGATGACGCCGCACAGCTGTTCGTCTGACAGCAGCTCTGTCCCCGTTGTTTTCACAAACACCCCCGCCTCTGTTAGTACACATTTACTGACACAAACATTTGTATCATCTGTTGTAGACCCAAATACATTAAATAAAATAAGAACTCATTCTCAAAAAAGATAAACGCCATTCTTAAAAGGTATAAACGAACAATAGTTGGATTAATATTGATTAGAGTGCACAATAGAAATAAAATAATTGAGAGAAGAAAAAGAGATATGTTATCTATCAAAACCCAGTTAGATTAACATTCATTGGATTGCACACTGTGTCTGTTTGTGTGGATATGTAGCAAATTAACATGTTAAATAGCACTTAATGACTGACTGAATGGAAATGACAATAAATGAAAATGTAAAACAAAAAAGCGATCATGAAAATGTTTCCAATAAATGAATAAAATAATTGTTGACCACTTTGTTGTTCAGATATATCACATATTTGTAACTGAATGATGCATTCATTGAAACAAAACACAGTATAAACTGAGGAGTGAGTCCCGTGAGTTTCATGTGTTTTCTTCACTCCGCTGGGAAACTCTGCTCTCATGTCAAGAAGCATCAGATCAGTGCATGCGCTGCATCGTCCAATCAGTGAGCGATACACAGTAAGGGGGCGGGGCGAGTGTCTGAGGATTTCATCGAAGGATGGTCTGGTAGTTCCTCGGTTATAGCTCCTCCATTATCGCTCCTCGCTCCTCGATCCTCGGTCCTCCGGCAGAAATAAGAGCCATGGGACGCTACTCAAGATGGCGCAGACAAATCCACTTCCGGTGATACCGAGACGGAGGAGCGAGGAAATGAAAAATAAGAGAAGAGAAACGCAGCCAGTGTTTACTTCCTGTCCGTCTTCTTCTGCTGTTCCTGTTAGTGTTCACTTCCTGTCTTTCTTCTTCTGCTGTTCCCTTTAGTGTTTACTTCTGTTGATTTCTCTAGCCTCCAGATCTCTGTCTTTTAACCTCGTTACCTCTCTTGTTCTCTTTTTCTTTTCTGGGGACAGTTTAGCCATCATGCATCCAAAGTTTCTTGCTCTCCACAAATATAAAAATGTATATTCAAAGAGTTTTCCGTGGTGTTTTCTGACATAGAAAACTACTGTTTGTTTTCCACAGCTGGTTCAACTGAACAGACATTGTTCTGAGGATTGATGACTGCACACAGTCTCTTAATCCTCCTTAGCAAAGGTGTCTCTCAACCATGCCGTGTAATATTATGCATTGTGGTTTTTTTCTCCAAATGTTACTGATATACATTTACTTCTCATACTTTGGTTCAATGCATTGAGTGCATTTTGTATTCTTGTACGGTATCTCTTTTAACCTCTTTCTGTCCCCCCCCCCCCCACGCACCTGCTCTCCTCCACCCTGCCCTGTTTGGCTCCAACAGGTGATGACCTGGAGAGGCATGACGGTAGTCCAGGGAAACCTTTCCTCATGTCCCCTCAGCTGCATAGGGTCCTGGGGAAGTCCTCTCAGTCTCATCGATAAGCAATCCTCCTGCATCAGAGACGTCCTCACGCAGAGAGACAGAGACGTCCTCACACAGAGAGACAGAGACGTCCTCACACAGAGAGACAGAGACGTCCTCACACAGAGAGACAGAGACGTCCTCAGACAGAGAGACAGAGACGTCCTCACACAGAGAGACAGAGACGTCCTCAGACAGAGAGACAGAGACGTCCTCACACAGAGAGACAGAGACGTCCTCACACAGAGAGACAGAGACGTCCTCACACAGAGAGACAGAGACGTCCTCAGACAGAGAGACAGAGACGTCCTCACACAGAGAGACAGAGACGTCCTCACACAGAGAGACAGAGACGTCCTCAGACAGAGAGACAGAGACATCCTCACACAGAGAGACAGAGACGTCCTCAGACAGAGAGACAGAGACGTCCTCACACAGAGAGACAGAGACGTCCTCAGACTGAGGAACATTAACAGAGAGACAGCCCTAAACTGAGAGACCCCCCTCACAGGGAGTCTTCCTCACACAGGGACTCGTCCCCTCAAGAAGAGACATCAACAGAGAGACGTCCCCACACAGAGAAATGTCGCCACACAAAGAGAGAAGTCCCAACACTTATAGATGTACTCACACAGAGAGATGTCCCATCAAAGAGAAACACCTCCACACAGAGAGACATCAAAATAGACGTCCCACACAGAGAGGCGTCCCACACAGAAACAGACTGACGTCCCACACTAAGAGACGTCCCACACAGAAACAGACTGACGTCCCACACTAAGAGACGTCCCACACAGAAACAGACTGACGTCCCAACACTAAGAGACGTCCCCACAAAGAGATACCTCCCCAAACTGGGAGACAGAGAGACGTCCCCATAAGAGCAAGAAATAGACACCCCCACACAGAGAGACAGAGACACAACTCCTCAATGTAAAATGTCACCAAACTGACATACGTCCCCACAATAAGATACGTCCCCGCACTGAAAGACATCCAAAGAGAGACATCAACAAAGAGCCGTCCCAACACAGAGACTTCAACAGAGAGACGTCCCAACACAGAGAGACGTCAACAGAGAGACGTCCCCACACTGAGAGACGTCCCTTCACAGAGAGAGAGGTTGACAGAGACCTGGCTGCTCTAGTTCTATGCTGCTGAACACGTCGGGACAAAGCAGGATGATACTTATTGAAATATTAAATGTGAGCGACCACCAACAGTGACAGGAATGAAGAAGCAACAGTGAGTTAAAAGTCAAAAACAGATTAAGTTGTCTTCAGGTATTTGCCGTATATCACTCTGTGCACTAACTTATTTGCTGTGTGTCTGCCATTGTTGTGCTGTAGTCGTATTGAAGTGACATTGCTTTGCATGTGCATTACTTTGTATTTAATATGTATTTACTAAGGCCTTCCATGGACTACCTTTTTTACATTGTGGTCAAGTCATGAATTACACAAAGAACTCAGATCTGCAATATTCAATGCAAGACTTGTGAAGCTACGGTTTACAAATGTATACTCCTCCATTTTTATGAAATGGTTCGATTTTTGTATTTGCAGTGTCGAATAAAATCAAATTTTCATATCTTTAATTTAAAAAAAATGGACATGTCTTCAGAAAAAAGAAATTAAGAACTTATTTTCACATCCTGAATTCACTTATGATGATTTGTTGAAATGATTTGATCTGATCGCTCCATTTAGTTGAATTGCATTTTGTGAGCCAATCTGTACATTCAGACCACATGAAAATGACAGAGGCATTGTTCCAGTGTACATTCTTGAAACATAAATATATCATCAGGAGCAGTTTGGAGTAGCAACAGATAATAATTAGCAAGGGTGTCAGCTGATCGATGATGTCACAAGCTCTTCATCGTCACATTTTTGTTTTGGAGCCTTTAACGCAGCTCCGATGTCACCTGTAAGGCCAGTATTGAAAGCAAACAAAGAGACCTGGAACAAATTCAGTAATGAGAGGTCAAAGGTCAATGATGATCATGTTCAAAGTACTTCCAACTGTGAATGAACACTGCCACAGTCTCCTCTTCTAACATGTGGACAGATGTTAGAAGAGGAGACCCACCACTTTTATCTTGAGGTGGAAATTCACAGGCAAACCGTTAGCTTAGCTTCCTAAGCCGGAACCTACGACGCTGTACACAGAAACTGAAGGAGACAGCTTTTGTGGTCCTTGTACGCTCATAGTACGCCAGCTCGGTCTGGGACCTCTACACCGATAAAGACAAGGATGCTCTGGAACCAGAACAACAAAGAGGTGCTAGATTCATTTTTGGAGATTATAACTGGGACAGCAGTTTCATAGAAATGCTCAAACGGTTCAACTGGGAGGAAATTGAGTGAAAGGTGATGATCGGCTCTTCTTCAAGATTGTCTATAACATCTTAGCCCTTGATGCATAGATGTACCTGTAAAGGTAACTCTCTGAACTTCCAGATAATATTCTCCTTTAGTGACACTCTGAAATACTCATTCTCTCCCAGAACAATCGGAGTGGAACATGCTACCAGAACAAGTCTTCATTGCAGAGTCCGTGGAGTGCTTACGGTACATTTTACCTCTGGGTTCTGCTCAGTATTAATCCAGATCCACAACTAAATGCCTAACTCATTTAACCAAGACGAAACACTGTCTCTGTCTGTCTGTTGGTTTGTCTTAAAGGTCACCTATCATGCTATTTTTAGGCAATAGCATAGGTCTCGGATATATAAAAATATATAAAAAAACATGTCTATGAAGTGTTTTGCTCAAAATACCAACCAGATCACCCATTCTAGCCATGCCTCATATCCCTCTACTTCACTTCCTGTTTCAAAAGTGCTGATTTGGGGTATAAAGGTTAAAAAAAAAAAAGAATTGATAAAAAAAAAGACGGGGCTGAGCTCATGCGGGAGATTCTACCGGCAGATACTGCCGTGATGAAACGCCATATCATGGATTATCAAGGATTATTTCTGAAACAGTATGGAGCTCAAAGGCTTTCTCTCTTGCCGGTTATACCACAAGGTGAGTTCCTTTTTATTTCCTGCTTCTTCACACACATGCTCTGTGCAGTACAGGTTAGCTCTGAGTGTTAGCGATGCTAATGTAAACATGCACCGACCATATTACGTCCAAAACAGTCGGGCATTGTTTCTGATAGCAACGTTTCTGATTGGGCCGTGGGTGTAAAGCCAGCCTACATTTCCGATATTATGTCATATCGGACGCAAATCTGGATCAGCTCCGTTGTAGCCCCGTTTTTAGAGATTTGGGTACGGAGGAAAAGAGAGGGTTTTATTTTCTGACGCTGCGTGAGTTCTCTGACACACCGGGGACACATATTCATGTATAAAAGACATAAAAAAGTGCATTTTGCATGATAGGTCCCCTTTAAACATTCAGGAATTATCATTTACTCTTTTTGTTGCATTTCTTTTATATTCACACCTGCCTTATATTTAGATTCTTAACCAAACTGCATTTTTATCCTTATTATTATTATCAAAATGACTGTTTTATTTCAGCCTTTGTAATTGGTCTGAGTTGGCTGTTAAAGAAACTAAATAAGAAAGCTTTTATTTTTAAGGCTGCATTATGACATGCTGTTGTAGAGACAGCTCTAAAAGGTGATAGTATATACCTGTTGTACGGACCAATCAGAGAAGAGGAGGGAGGGAAGGAGAGAGAGGAGAGAGGAAAGAGAGAGAGACAGAGGGAAACAGAATGTGGAGAGAAGGGGGGAGAAGGAGAGGAAGAGAAAGAGGAGAGGAAGGTAAAGTGTGACACAGACCAGCTCCTCTCTGTGAGGAGAGCTTGACTCCTGGGATCAGAGCGGAGGACCCCCCCCCCCCCCCAGCATGCCGGTGGGACGGGGCCAAGTGGCCCCCCAGAACACCTTCCTGGACACCATCATCCGCAAGTTCGAGGGGCAGAGTGAGTACAGGGCTGCGTTTGATTTACCCACCTCAGATGAGTTCACCTGTATGAAATAATCCAATGAGGACGAAGCAGAATATTGTTCAAGGTTCAAGGTTCTTTATTGTCAAACTAACATAGCTACAGAGTAATTATGTTGTTGAAAATCTTATGTCACAGGCTTCTCCAACAATGCAACATAATAATACAGATAGTAAAAGTAATACAAAAAGAAAAATAGTTATAAAATAAAGTGAGTATGTGGAATAGTGCAGTACGAGTCTATATACAAGTTATTGGAATGATATATATTAGATAGTAGATATATATTACTAAATAGCAGATGAATGTTTTGAAATTGTTTCAGCAGTTCAATTGTTTAACAGTCTCACTGCCCGCAGGAAGAAACTGTCTCCGAATCTTTTTGTTTTTGCCAGGATGCTGCGGTAACGTCTGCCAGACGGCAACAGAAAGAACAGTTTGTGGCTGGGGTGATGGGGGTCTTTGATAATCCGTAGGGATTTCTTCCTGAGCCGCTGGGAGTAGAGGTCCTCCATGGATGGCAGCTCCGTCCTGGTGATGTGCTGTGCAGTTTTCACCACCCTCTGTAAAGCCTTACGATTGAGGTCGGTGCAGCTGCCGTATCAGGCCGTGATGCAGCCAGTCAGGATGCTCTCTATGGTGCACCTGTAGAAGGTCAGGATACTCTCTATGGTGCACCTGTAGAAGGTCAGGATGCTCTCTATGGTGCACCTGTAGAAGGGCAGGATACTCTCTATGGTGCACCTGTAGATGGTCAGGATGCTCTCTATGGTGCACCTGTAGAAGGTCAGGATACTCTCTATGGTGCACCTGTAGAAGGTCAGGATGCTCTCTATGGTGCACCTGTAGAAGGGCAGGATACTCTCTATGGTGCACCTGTAGAAGGTCAGGATCCTCTCTATGGTGCACCTGTAGAAGGTCAGGATGCTCTCTATGGTGCACCTGTAGAAGGTCAGGATGCTCTCTATGGTGCACCTGTAGAAGGTCAGGATGCTCTCTATGGTGCACCTGTAGAAGGTCAGGATGCTCTCTATGCTGCACCTGTAGAAGGTCAGGATCCTCTCTATGGTGCACCTGTAGAAGGTCAGGATCCTCTCTATGGTGCACCTGTAGAAGGTCAGGATGCTCTCTATGGTGCACCTGAAGAAGGTCAGGATACTCTCTATGGTGCACCTGTAGAAGGTCAGGATGCTCTCTATGGTGCACCTGAAGGTCAGGATCC